CATCTACACAGTCTTCCAGCCACACCTCCCTTCCATTCAGAGATGGGGGTCAGCAGCTGCCGTGGGCCCCATCCACAACCTCCACTCCAAATTCTGACACTCGATCAAAACAAATCATAACATCACTCTCATGAGCAATTTTAAATAAGCATCCCTCCTAATCAATCTCCTGTATCTCAACTTTAAGAATGGTGACGTCTCCATAATGCATCTCTTTTTTTTTTTTTTTTGAGACAGAGTCTCACTATGTTGCCCAGGCTGGAGTGCAGTGGCACTATCTCTGCTCACTGCAATCTTTGCCTCCTGGGTTCAAACAATTATCCGCCTCAGCCCACTGAGTAGCTGGGATTATAGGCACCTGCCACCACACCTGGCGAATTTTTGTGTTTTTTGGTAGAGATGGGGTTTCACAATCTTGGCCAGGCTGGTCTTAAACTCCTGATCTTGTGATCCACCCAAACCTCGGCCTCCCAAAGCGCTGGGATTACAGGCATGTGCCACCACACCCAGCCCATAATGCAGTTCTTAAAAAAAAAAAATCATACCTAGGAACTTCATGTTGCAAATAACGCTTGTGGGAGAACCTCAAGATGAGGCCCCTCTGGTCACTGAATGTTCTCAGTCCAAGATGTGTCCCACTTCTACACAGTGATCTGTGAAAATGGCAGAAAGCCCAATCCAAAGCTTAAGCAAGATGTCATCAGGAATCAGGTGGGTTCTGCTTCCAGAAGGACCACCTTTGAACTTCTCCTCTTCACTCAACTGAAGTGGCTTCAACTTCCTGCATCACACCCTACCCTGTAAGCCGATGGCCCACCTTCCCTCCGTGACTCCCCGAGCTGGTTCCTGCTCAGCCCTCAACTTCCACTCACACCACGCTCCCCTCCCTCATGAGCGGCCTTTCTGGACTTCCACCAGTTCCTACGTAAGCCAGTGCTCTCCCAGTACCCTGGTGTCTCTGTGGCTTCTTCTCAACTTTCCAATCTTGCCTTTAAATCTTCCTCAATGTGGCCTTCTCTGATAGCTCCATCTAAGGAGGTCCCCATGTCAATCTGAACCGCCACATGCTACTCAAACCTCTTAGAGCAGTCTGTAACAATTTGTTTTCCGTGGCCACTACGTCCTCCCTTTCACAAAAGCAGGGTGAGCTCTGTGTCACTCCCAGTTGCCTTCTGGGAGCTGATTCCAGCACCTGAGCCCACAAAAGGCTTTCAATGCATGTGACCAATCTACTGAATGATCACATCCTTCTCTTCCTCAGTGCTACCCAGTGATGTTGGACTCCTATAGAAATTAGGAGGCGAGAGAAACAAGAGCTCCCTGGCCCATGACCACATGGCTAAATCACTCCAGTTAAGAGCTCCAGAGGGTACCAGGTGATTTCGCACTGGAAACCTGATTGGGATTGCTTGGGACACCACATTTAGTTGGGTACCCCCTAAAGCATGACAATAAATGCAAACATGTTAGACACTATGTATTTTTATCTTTTTCACTAAATAGATTTCTTTTTAAGTGCTTACCCTCACTGTGCAAAAGTCTGTCGGTTTTGAGGCCAGGTATAATTTTGAAAATTCAAAAAGACCACAAAACGCATTTGAGGAACTGCAGACAAACTGCGTAAGCACGGGATGGTGAAGCATTCCTTGCAGGCTCAGCGCTGTAAAAACATGATCTCAGGACTTAAGTGAATAGTTTTAATTAGGCTTTGCAAACAGGAAGCTACAAAGCTTTGAACAATCCAAACCCTTCAGAGTCTCAACTTGCGCAGCTGTAAAATGGGACCTGGAATGACGTCTCTCAAGAGACTATTGCAGAAATAGGGTAAAAATTACCTAGAAAGATGTCGAGGAGACCATGTGTGCTGGTACCCCACTTTTCCACCAGTCCCCTCTGATTCCTATCGCCGCTATGTGGAGCACTGAAGACAGCTCCTGGGTCACGCTGCCTCACAATGGCACATGTGGGCATAGCCCAACCTGATCTGTACCCTCCAGGGTCAGTCGTGTCATTCAGTTTACCCCCATCAGACATCTGTGGATCTGTCTCAAAGTCCACAGGGGTTCTTGTGAGACAATGACCACCAGGCAAGCAGTGCAGTTCCCATGGACAATTACGCTTTCTCAGTTTACCATGACCCTGAGAAGACGAGATAGAGGGGGAGAGACAGAGAAAGAGAGGAAGAGAGGGGTTGGGGATGGAACAAAAGAGGGAGCGATGGCAGGAGGGAAAGGGAGAGAGAGGAAGGCAGAGAGGAAGGGAAGTGGTTCTACTTCTGTCAGATGTCTGGAAGACAGGCAAAAGGATGAGATGTTGTTGCTACTGCTTCTCCCAATTATTCTCCAGAGCAGGAGTTTTTTTTTTTTTTTTTTTT